CCCAGCCAGTGCAGGGACCCTTCTGCCCAAAGCCGATGCCCATGGTCACCCTTGTCCCCTTCCCGACAGACCCGGCTGACACGGGCATCTGGGTCCCCATTTGCTTCAGAGGTTCCCGAGCCACAAACAAGGCAATTCCCGCTCCCTCCCCGCTCCCAAGGTACATTTTGGGCTATAAAGAGCCAATTAAGCTAATTAAACAAGCACCACAATCACCTCGTGCCATTCAGCTTATATTCACACCCAAAAATAAATTCCTGAGGCGTATCAAACCTGGCAAGACCTAACCCCCCCCCCCCCCCCGCCACGCTGGCACTAACACACGCACATCACACGTACCCCTCTCCCCCCACGACCCCGCCTGTCCAATCTCACATCCATCTCCACCGGAGACAAATTTCCATCACCGAGGCTTGGAATCAGAATGGTTTGGGTTGGAAGGGACCTTCAGAGGTCACCTCATCCTTCCTGCACAGGACAACCTCCAAGGTACAGCTAGGGGTTGCATCCTTGCGAAAAAAAACAAAAACAAAACAAAAAAAAACCCAAAAAAAACCCCCAAACCAGCCTCATGTCTGACCATTTCCATCCTGAGCGAGCCCCCAGTTTCACCGGGTGGGATCCTGGAGGTCCCTGGGTTCTCCAGGAGAAGAGGCCCATAGGGAAGGGAAGGTCTTGCCAGGGCGCTAGGAGAGGTGGTGGCTGGCAGGAGACGGGGGGGGGGTGGGGGGGGGCACCAGCGTCTAGAAACCCCCGTAGCCTGCAAGGAAATTGGGGGGAGGTTAGCACACCGCAGCCCCAAAAAGCCAACGAGTTTTGGAGATACCCAGGGCTCATCTCCCCACCGGTTCAGTGCCCGTTACCTCTACGTAGGCGGTGGAAACCAAAGCTGGGTCCAGCCTGTTCCTTTTGAGGGAAGAGGGCTGTGGAGCAGAGCGAGAAGCTGCCGTTAGCCAACGCATGGGAACCGGGAATCCCGCGCCCGGTTGACGAACCGAGGGGACCCGGGTTTCTGTGCCGCCGCAGAGGGCCTGGGGTCATGGTTGGGCAACCTCACCTTCCTGGTGGGCTCAACCACGGAGTAGATGGTGCAGCTTGCAGGGTCCTGAGGGCAGCTGGGTCTCTGCTAGGGAAAAATGGTCAAAAAATGCAAAAAAAAAAAAAAGAAAAAAACCCAAATTTTGGGCAAAAGGGCTACCATAGATGTATCCAGCCTGGGGGCTGCACAGCCAAACCCACGGGGCCATCGGCACAGGACTGACCCTACCTGTGTTTTGTTGCCGATGACGGCGTAGACGGTGTTTCCTCCCGTGGTGACCTCACCGGTGCCACGCTGGGGGAGAAAGCAACCCCCGGCTCATTAAAAGATGCAATCCGGGGCGATGGACGTCTCCAAACAGAGGTCCCGGCCCTCCAGGCAGCATGGGGAGGGGACACCCCTGGTACTCACGGGGTCTTGGCCGGTTCGGGCTTTGCCCACCTCCTCGTAGATGGTCAGCGTCTGCTCGTCCTGTGCTGGGGGGGGGTTGAAGGGTCAGGGTGAGATGGGTGACGCGTTAGAGCCCTCAGACTGGGGAGGTCAGCCCTCAAGCAAAGCAAAAAGGGGCAAAGAGGTCCCTTGGCAACTGGGAAGCTTTACTTTGTTGGCACCTGGCAGGGGAGGGATGCTCCAGCTCAGAACAAAACCCATATCCAAAGCCAGTAGAGCTCATGGGACAAGGCCTCCAGGTTTGGGCACCAATGCTTGGGGGTGCTGGGATGCTTCATCCAGCTCAACCTGCACCACCCTGCATCAGCAGGGACGGGCAAAGACTTTGTGCCCCGTGCGGCGCCTGGCAGGGGGTGGCAGTGCCCAGTGGCTTTATCCCCCATCAGCCCCAAGAGGAGGGAAAAGCCCAGGGCCAGCACGGGGAGAGCTAGGAGGTGGACAGCAGTCCAAAAAACCCCCACGGCTGCCCACCCCATGAGTTACCGCGCTGACCCCGGGGACAAACCTCGCGAGGGATCCTTTCTTTGCCTCTTCATCCAGTAGCAGATGACAGCGAGGGCTACGGAGATGGCCAGTGTCAGCCCCAGGGACAAGGCCACCGCCCACCATGGAAAGGTGTTGAGGGACACTGGGGAGGAAGAAGAGGAGAAGAGGAGACCTTTGATGAGCCGTGAGCCATTTCTGAATGCAGTCACAGAATCCCAGAATCGCAAGGGTTAGAAGGGACCTCTGGAGATCATCCAGTGCAACCCCCCTGCTCAAGCAGATTCTCCTAGAGCATGTTACACAGCACTTCATCCAGGCAGAGGTTGAATATCTCCAGAGAAGGAGACTCCACAGCCCCCCTGGGCAGCCTGGGCCAGGGTTCAGGCACTCTCCAAGTCAAGAAGTGCTTCCTCCCGTTCAACTGAAACCTCTTCTGCTTCAGGTTGTGCCCATGGCCCCTTGTCCTGGCGCTGGGCACCACTGCAAAGAGTCTGGCTCCGTCCTTGTGACTTCCACCCTTAAGATATTTGTATGTATTGGTCTCTGTTGCAGCCCCCAGGGGACAGACCTGGCGAGGAAGCCTCAGCCCAGTTCCACCACCCGTGTTTGGCTATCGCGTTGACTTTCCCAGGAGGGGAGGCTGGGCACATTTTGGTGTCAGCATGACATCCCCCACAGCTTCATGGGCCCAGGCAGGGAGATGAAAAGCCCCAAGAGAGGGCTGGAAGTGGCGTGGCTTGCACACACACCCCCCAAATCCTGCTTTGACAGAGCTGAGAGGGCCTTGGGGGCACTGGTGGATGAAAAGCTGGCCATGAGCCGGCCATGGGCACTGGCAGCCCAGAAGCCAACCCTACCCTGGGCTGCATCAGGAGAAGCGTGGCCAGCGTCAAGGGAGGGGATTGTGCCCCTCTGCTCTGCTCTGGGGAGACCTCCCCTGGAGCCCTGCGTCCAGCTCTGGTTTTAAACTGAACCAGGGTAGGGTTAGACTGGATCTAAGGAAGAAATTCTTTACACTGAGGGTGGTGAAACCCTGGCAGGGGTTGCCCAGAGAGGGGGTGGAGGCCCCATCCCTGGGAACATTCCAGGCCAGGTTGGACGGGGCTGTGAGCAACCTGATGTGGTTCAAGGTGTCCCTGCTCCTGCGGGGGGGTTGGGCTGGGTGACCTCTGGGGGTCCCTTCCCACCCAAAACATTCTATGATTCTATGAAATTACCAGCGCTGCAGGCTGCCGTGACATCGATGCTGGCCGTGCTCCAGCTCAGCGGGTTGCTCACATTGCAGTGGCAGACGGTGGGGTTGGAGTCCCTGCAGACCTGCAGGTGCAGCCGGGGCTGCTGCTCCAGCTCTCCCAGGGCATCCCCAGTGCAGGACCAGTGGTAGGAGAAGTTGCCGGGGCTGGGAACGGTGCAGAGCAGTGAGATGTTGCACCAGCTCTGCTCCCAGGACAGGATGCGGGGCTCCAGGTGCGGCTGCTGGACGGGCTCTGCGGAGTTGGAGCCCGTGAGAAGGGACTGGGGGGGACACAGGGTGATGGGGGGGACACAGGGTGATGGGGGGGACACAGGGTGATGGGGGGGGGGGGGGGGCCGGAGAGCCCCCC